TCAATCAAGAAATCAAACATCTTGATAATGTTAGTTTCAGAGAATATTTTGTTTGAATCAGAGTGATTCTTTACAAAGTAGGATTTATTCCTCCCCAAGACCAGATACTTGTATCTACGTTCGCCATTCTTTTTAATTAAACAAATAATACCAACTCTTTCAATTTGTCTTTAATTTTGGAATGGGGAATACTTGTGTAAAGTGTAGAAAAGTCAAATGTTTTAATACTATTGCAAGATAAGAGAGTCTTAGATTGTATGTTCTCTAAAAGATCTTTGGAATTTTTAAGTATCCACATCTGAATCACACCACCTCTAGAATAGGCAGTTTCACAATAACTTTGGAGGCTGGCTTTGATTGCAAATAAAATAGATGTTAATAATTTAGAAAGAGGTTTCGTGGAGCACTTGGAAGACCAAGCAATATACCGTTGTTTGTAAGGACACTTATGTAGTTTAGGTATCCAATACAGTGATGGAAGATCGAGTTCTTCATCTTTGGTTGAAATTTCAAAGGAACATAGAACAGACCTATGATTATCCAGGATTTCCTCTTTGGTAAGTGTCGTGAGGGTATATGTGGAGTTTCCAAGTGAATTGTCAATACCTAATTCATTTATCAAGCAGTTTATGTAATGATATTTACACACAAAAACGATGTTGTTTGGGGCTTTATCTGCGGGGACAACAACATATTTGTCATGGAGGTAGGACAAGTGTTTTGCAACATTTGGGTTTTTAAGAATTGACGTAGCGTGGGTATTGATAGACCCATTTAGTTTCTTAATTCGGATTTGTATCAACGAACTCACAGCCTTAATCCATTCGGAAAGAGTATCTACGTCTTCTTTCTCGCGTTTAGCCCATTGCCTGGCATAATCCTCGACTGAATCCATCAGTATTTTGAAGTTGTATTTCCAATTGATGGATTTAGGCTCACGATATTTCAGACCTTTGGATAACAAATTTCGCAGGGAAGTGTTATTGACAATGTTGAGGTCTCCGGTAATAACGTGGCCAGCCGGATTATATGTGAATTGGAAACTAGCACAGGTGCAATCAGGAGGTTTAGACTTGAAGTCGTCAATGTTGAGATTCTGCAAAACGTGTTTGAAATTGAAAATTTTAGTTGCAATTGGTTTGGTATGGGTATAAGAAATAATTGGTACAGACTGATCTTTAAAATAAGGAGGTATTTTCGACTGAACTAATTTATGATGAAGGATATTGCCTAAGTTGACGCCATCGAGACTTTTGTTGGCAAAGGAAAGTTTAAGAAAAGATATTTTCTCTTTTTCATCTTTTCCAATGCGAACTGGTTTGAAAAGTCTGTGACTTGCAATATCCGAAATGATAACTGTAAGTTTGTATTGGTTTGAATGAGGGTTTGTAACAGTGGTTTCCAAACTTAAATTGAACAGAAAATGAAGTTTTCAAAGGGGTAATGAATAAAGTTTCGTACGAATGTGATGAATAAAGTCGTCTACCCCAAATTGTGTAATATATGGTGAACTTGGACGATATCCCATAAATTTAGATATAAAAATCCGTATGATATCATTTTGGGTGAAATTATTATCTGCTAAACCGACTAAATTATCAGCTACCATTTATAAACTACTGTATAAGCTGTCAAATGAAAATGATGTAAATTTTAGTTGGTTAAATCATGTTGAATCTATTTTTAATGAAACGGGATTATCTTTTGTGTGGTTATCTCAAACATGTATTACTGACATTTGGTTAAAGAATACACTTAGAAAATCACTTCAAGATCAGTTTCAAACATGGTTTTCAAATTTTCGAACACATTAAATCATTGAATTTTTAAGGATACTTTTGGCTTTGAGAACTATTTTGATATTTTAGAATTTTGTGATATTTATACTTTATGCAAATTTAGAACCAGTTACCATACATTACCTATCTTATCATTTCGTTATTATTCTTTGTGATGAATGTAATTTTATACCTAAAAGTTTCAGTAAAGAAAGATTGTGAACAACCATACAAAGGAGCACATGTAAGTAGGGTTAATACCATATTGTGTCCCGAATATTAAGTCAATTATTACAAAATATAAAAAAAGTTCCAAGTTGATGAGAAAACACCTAAGAAAGTGAAATCGAACTATATTTTTCATTTTTGTTTTATTGACTAATTAACGCAACATGAATTATCGATTAATTGTATAGAAGTCACATTATGATTTGCAAAATCTGACTTCTTTTTCCTTTTAACTTACTATGGCTCATTATTTTATGTCATCGAATGATTTTCTTCTTTTTTTCTTTTTTTTTGGGGGAGGGTGGTGGGGGAGGGGGGGGGGGGTGGGTTGATTACGAAAACTTGGATAACGAACCGACATCTAACAGCCGGTTGGATATTGAAAATCGAATCATGGATAACGAACCGTCCGCTAATATAACATAAATATATACATGCAGGTTCTTATCGTTTTGTCTGAAACCTGATGGGTTCGATCATACGCCGCCATTGTTAAATAGCACAAGGAATGTATTTTTGCATTTTCTCAGAGTCTGTTATTTCCTTGATTAAGTTTTGAACGAAATCATCTTCGCTGGCCAAGGGTTTTGATCCGACGCGCCCCTACGGATCGTAACTATTGGCTAACGAAGATGAAACGAAATAGACCCACTGATTTTGTTCCAGTTTAATAAATATTATCGGAATAGCATCAAAATAATTAATGATAAAATACATTTTCCTTGTGTATATCGAATTTAAACCGAACGTCGTAATTATTTTAAGTTTTAGAGTTTTCAACAGCATTTTGATTTAAGGATGTTTGCTACTCTGTTTCAAAATAACAAGCTTTTTGAAAGATTGTTATAAATTGATAGTATATAAATAAAGGAACTAAATAAGCAGAAAAAAATTAAGGATCCGTGTGCTTCTGTTTGAGATATAAGCCATTTCAAAAACTATGAAAAAATAACAAGGATTTTATAAAATTTCAAATATGGCTTTTGAAACTATATGTAATAAAAATATGAAAAGAAAAGTAGGGGTTAGCGGGCAAAATTTTTGAATGGCACTACATGGATAAAACCAGAGGATTCCGAATATCTGACAAAAATTCAAAAACAAGAGGAGCAAACCTCCTTAACAAATTAACTGAAAATACTAAAGAAAAAAATCACGTATATATATAGTCAAAACAATTTTCAAAACATAATTTGTAATAGTTATTGTTTGTTTGTTTGTTGGTCTTAAACGCCACTCTTTACGACCTTTGCATTATGATGGCGGCATATTTGTATTGTTAGGCATGTATAACCTGGCAATCCTTGTCAATTAAGATCGAAGTCGAACACCAATTGTCACGAGGAGCATGATTCTAACTCAAAACCTCAAAATTGAGAGGCTAGTTAGTGATGACTGAAAATAAACTTAGTCCATTTAGACCATTTGGCTACCGAGACCGCCTACATTTAGACCACTTGGCCACCGACACCGCCTACATTTAGACCACTTGGCCACCGAGACCGCCTACATTTAGACCGCTGGGCCACCGAGAGCCCCTACTTATGTATTACAGAAAATCACATTCTTTAAACGGTGGTGTCGGAACCCGTCAATCTAAATGCAATCCGAGTGATTCATTATTTGACAACACGTTTTCTTAAAGGTTATTTATATTCAAAGGAGGCGTTCCTTAATGGACCTTTAAGTTTATTTACAATGATACATCATGGTCTATCTGTCTCCGTAGTCATGTTATATAAAACAGCAATGTTCAGACATGTTGTAGCAATGGTTATATCTGGACATTTAAATTAAAATACTCACTAATCGCAAATACCTTTTAGTATATATACCTTAACGGGTTGATGGACCAAGTCGATGTTTTAGTTATGTCGTTGACCGGGAAAGTTCGTCAATTCTGCACGCATTTTAAAAGACGTCGTTCAACAGATATCGCCTGTATCCTTGCACTACATAAGTTCTTCAAACATCTTCGGGATCGTGATTATGCAGGATATTTAAGAAATTATCTTTGTTCCGTACCCTGTACGTCATCACAATTCCCAAACATCGGCAGTGCGATTATCAACTATCAGAATTTAATTTGCCTAACATTTCAGGCAATATAGCATCCATTGTGTAGGCAAAACCATAGAGACATGTAACTCTTTTCAAAAAGAACATATCGTATCGTTATTTCCTTAAACTATATATGTGTGCATGTTCAGAAAATGCTGATTGGTAAGTTATAGCTTCAAAATTTAATGGTTAACCTTATAGTTGGGTTTGTAAATTTTATGTCGATCTAGTTTTGATTTAGAAGTGATTTGGTTCTACACGTATTACAATAATTTATAGTCTTACTGATGGATTTATACATATATTATTTATATATCTGCGAGTACTCTCAGATCTGTACTTATATTGTATTTGTTGTTGTTGAGGGGATGTATAAATAGTACCCTGTCACGTCCGGTCTGTGTTTTTGTTAGATGTTGTTCTGTTTTTATGTATTTGATGAGTTAAGCCCTTTTCAACAGATTTATTTAGTTTGTTTTGACTTATGTTTTACTGTTACACCATTGTCCCAGGTTAGGGGGAGGGTTTGGCACCAACAAACTAGTTTAACCCCGCCACATTCTATATGTCCCTGGGGGAGCCTGTAATTCAGTGGTTGTCGTTTGTTGCTGTATATCATATTTGTTTTTGCTGTATATCATATTTTTTTTTGTTCATTGTTTTGTACATAAATCAGGCCGTTAGTTTTCTCGTTCGAATTGTTTTACATTTGTGAGTCATTTGTCATGTTGGGACCTTTTATAACTTCTTCTTCATGTGGTCTCTAGTGAAGAGTTGTCGCATTAGCAATCGATCATACCACATCTTCTCATTTTTATGTTATGAATGTTTAACACTCCAATGATTTACATAGAAATGTCATATATGTATTTTTAAAGTAAACCAACACTTAGTCGTCTAACAGGTAATATAAGACTGAAATACCGGTTAAAAATCCTTACATCTGAACGATCACGAACAACAATGTGCCAAAGTAGGTTATTATTGAGCACGTCTGGAACAGATCTGGAGTTCATAGTGATTCCTTTGTGTTACGAATATATCTTTTTCTACGTAGGTTTATATCAAGAACGATTATGGTTTTAAATTCATTACATAAATAGGCTTTACCTAGATTACATAAGTATTCACCGCAAGTATATTATCTGTTTCTGTTTTGCAATGGATATCGCATATTCCTATTTTGAAGGAATCGATCTAACAGCTACATTTATATTTTTAATAATATTTCTTGCGACAGTTTTGTGGATGACATATCCGAAATCGGATATTCCAGGACCACGAGCATGGCCTATTTTTGGAAATATTCTACTTGTTAGTCAGTTTAATAGTACACCAAAGAGAGTCAAGTTTGTTGAGGAGATGACGAGGCAGTATGGACCAATGTTTCGAATGTTTTTAGGACCATACCAGATCGTATTTGTACAGGGTCATAAACATGTGCTTGATGTTCTACAGAAACGAGGACGGGAATTTATAGACAGACCCAACTTTATTCCAGGAATCAAATTAGCTGAAAAAGTAAAAGGAGGTAAATCATAGATTATTATAACGTATGAATTATATCAAATTATATTTTTAAGCTATATTCCAATGCAGAAAGGGAACGAACTGTACTTCGGTACTGTCATGAAAATACGGATATTGAGTTATTGAAATTTATTGTTACAAAATTTTGGAAATGATTCAGAATTAAGGAATATATCTCCGTCATGCATAGCTCTGATTCATTGACCGACTTTGACTATACATTGTATCTATTTTTAGGTTTCATCAGCTCTTCAATTTTTGAATACGTTAAGGATTTTGAAATATTTCGACCTAGAGCATCATTTAAGGTAATACGATACCAAATGACATATCTCCCGCTTTCTAAAATTTTTGGCACATTTGTACTTACGAGTTACATCGGAATATGAAATAAAAAGGGGGGTCACCGTTTTTTTGTTTTTTTTGTAATTTTCATAAGAAAACGTTAATTTTGGCGACATATTTACATAGATGTATAGTGAAAACGCCGTGTTTTTTACTTATTTTTTTAGGTTTTTGATGGGATGGCTATGTTCTTATATAGGGTGAAATACTGAAAACTAAGATAATATCCAGGATTGTATACTGAATCTATGCATGTATAGAAACACATATGTCATCATCCTTGCTTTTTAGATAAATTGCTTCAAAATTGACCGATACGCTTAGAATTTGACAGAAAACGTGTGACGTTACTGAATACAGAATAACATGTTTTTTACTCAGCATGCTCAGAGGTATTGAAAAAGTATGTAACAGGATCTGAATTGTGTTTGTTATTGTATTGCAAAATTTCCCTTAAAAAGACAAATTTCAACATTCTGTCATTTGTTGAAAATTATGCAAAAATAATACTGAGAATATAAATGCACACTCTTTATAAGTAAAACACTCGTCCCAATACAAACGTTCAAGCTTGAAAATGTACATGTAGGAGGAGTAAGCCGGTATCTGTACTCTGCGTGCCTTTATATATTATCAAAATGCCAAATTCAGCAAACTGTCATTTAAAAAAACATCCTAACAATATGCACACCTATTGTATATGTACTAACAGCAGGCACATAATTTAAAAGTTGAGGTGTAAAACATGTAGTCCTAAGAGATTAGCCTATATATACTAAATGCGGGACGGACGGTCAAAAGGACACGGGTAAAACAATATGCTCCTTCCATTTTGTCGCGGGAGCAAAATATAAATTAGTGTACATGATGATGTTCTATTTTATATGGCATTTGGTGACAAAATATCTTTTTGAATAAGTAGTTCAAAGTGGAATGGTAATTGTGAGTTCTCAAATGTAGCAATGTAAGCAAGCTAACATCTACTTCATTGGGTCTGTGATGGAATGTTGTCTCATTGGAAAGCATACCACTTCTTTTTATTTCATAATGGTTTGAGTGTAATCTTGAAATACAAGACCACGAGTTTAAAGACTTTTACAATACGTACTAGGAGACTGAAGTATGTTACTGTTATAATTAAAATCTGACTATTGTTGTGAACATGCATGTGATGTTATAATTTGATAGATTTAATACTTGCTATACTGAATATACTTATTAATTTACCAATTCAAGGGAACAACGAATTTTTACTAAAAATACAAATTAGCAGTAAAAAAGTACTTGTCTATTCTGCATTAGTCACGTGTTATCTAGATGTCTTTGATTTTGTGTGTAGTTAATTGGCCAGTTGCTGTCTTATTGTATATCCCACATCTCACACAAAGAAACGCTCACCAACACTTATTTTTTACATACATGTTTACTTGTTATAAAAACTCCTTATAAGACTGTCTCCCCACCCTATTTGTGAAATGGTGCTCATTTCATCATCAGTACTTGTACATCATGTCATACTCAAAACACCAAAAACACACGAAGGCCCAAAGAACCAAGCGTAGATTAACATGAATCTAGAATCAAAAAAATTCTAAGATCTTGTTTTTGGTTTTTTTTCACCTTGTTTTTGCCATTTGAATCATATAGGCTAATGTAAATATTACTTTAAAATTTATTAACGTTCGAAGCGCTTTTCTGGATTTACCTTCATCAAAGCACCGTTCATTCTTTCATTGTGGGCCACGGTTTTTTTTAATGAATCGTTTGATTGTAAATTTCGAAAAAATAATTTATTGAAGAATGGAATTTGAAAAAAAAATCTAACGGGATCTGAATGATTTAGTTTTATTTCGTCCTAACCGAGTGCACATTTAACGTTGACATCCAATAAGTTTAAGCCTTTGTAAAACTTTCTCCTCATTACGATGGTGCCGTTAGTTTGATTAGATAACAACAATCGCGCGTCATTCAAAAAATAACCTTCATATCAAAATGAAATGTTACATTAGTGATGACACGTGCTTCCACAAAAAGTGCACAGGTAAATAAAAGAAAAACTTGATAATTTTTTTTTCATGATTTTAGCATAAAAATGTAATTATAAGAAATGCATGCTTCTTTTTGTAATTTAATAGGGTTGTAAAAGTGTTAATCGTCCACACATTTTTATTTATTGGGGTGTATAAGTGTTGGCCAAAGCATATTTTGTATGAAGCGCCAAAGCGCTTCATTCTAAAAATGTATGTACGATCAACACTTTTAAACCGCAATAAAATTACTAATTGCATGTAATGTAATTATACTAGTATAATATTCAAGAGCGGGCAATAATATTCATGACAAGGACCGAGTTCGACGAATTAGCATTGGTAACAATTATTATCTGTTTTGTCTTTTACTGATGTATGTAGTACTATTATCGAGTTGTTTTTGGCTACATATACAGCAAAAGTATCAGTGTCATTAATCATGGAGAGAGTTTTACTTTGGCTACATATACAGCAAAAGTATCAGTGCCATTAATCATGAAGAGAGTTATCTTTGACTACATATACAGCAAAAGTATCAGTGTCATTAATCATGAAGAGAGTTATCTTTGGCTACATATACAGCAAAAGTATCAGTGTCATTTATCATGAAGAGAGTTATCTTTGGCTACATATACAGCAAAAGTATCAGTGTCATTATTCATGAAGATAGTTATCTTTGGCTACATATACAGCAAAAGTATCAGTGTCATTAATCATGGAGAGAGTTATCTTTGGCTACATATAACGCAAAAGTATCAGTGTCATTAATCATGAAGAGAATTATCTTTGGCTACATATACAGCAAAAGTATCAGTGCCATTAATCATGAAGAGAGTTATCTTTGGCTACATATACAGCAAAAGTATCAGTGACATTAATCATTATCTTTGGCTACATATAAAGCAAAAGTATCAGTGTCATTAATCATGGAGAGAGGTATATCTGGCTACATATACAGCAAAAGTATCAGTGTTATTAATCATGAAGAGAGTTATCTTTGGCTACATATACAGAAAAAGTATCAGTGTCATCAATCATGAAGAGAATTATATTTGGCTACATATACAGCAAAAGTTTCAGTGTCATTAATCATGATGAGAGTAATCTTTGCCAAATATACAGCAAAAGTATCAGTGTTATTAATCATGAAGAGAGTTATCTTTTTATTGCTTTGAATTTGTTCGTTAAGTCAGTAAAATACCAAAATAATCATTTATGCAGCACGTGTATATTTATTTTGTTATTTATAAGCTTTGTGTTTATTTTTTTTTAAAATGGCCGTTCTGAGTATGAGTGAAACTCATATACCAGATTTCCTTATCTGATTTTGATATCTAGAAGTAAAATGAGAACGAAAATCACTGGTTCATTAGACTATTAGTTTGATAGGGAATATAGTAGAACACATTTTAAATACATGTATCAAGGTTGATAAGGGCTTTTATGAGAGCAAAACCTTCAGAACTAGATATCAAGTATTAATGGATATTGGGAGAACACAAGTTTGAATAGGGCGTTTAAGAGAACGCAGATTTTTAGAAGAACATATACTTGACAGTAATAAAAGTAAAGTTTGAATAGGTTGTTTTTGAAGAATTGGGAATGTATTTTGAAGAACAAAGACTTCCCTATTAGATATTAATTTCGAAGAGGGCTTATTAAGGAATAAAAGCTGCAGTGTTATACATATCAAGTTGTAACAGGGCTTTGATTTATATTCAAAACTAAGTTGTAGACGTCAGACTTTACAACATCCCCGCAAATAAAGTTTTGGGGTATATAGCTAAGGAATCACAATGTCCGTCTGTCTATCTGTCTGCTTGTCTGCCATTTCCGCTTCTGGTCTGGTGTATAACATTTGTATCGTAACACTTAGCTTAACCAAACTTCGTATGAAGTTGTATCATGTGCTGGGACTGAGTCAGATACCAAAGTCAGGTCACTCTGACCTTGACTTTGACCCATCTAAGAGTAAAGCCTTGTCCAATTCGTGTCCAACTCATACCTTTTCTTCTGTAAGACTTAGGTTAACCAAACTTAGTATGCAGTTGCATCAAGGACTGGGAATATGTCACATACTAAAGCCAGGTTATTCTGACCTTGACTTTGACCTTTGACCACTATGATAGTAAAACCTCATCCAATTCGTTTCATAGCTTTTGTACTTTTAAACTAAGGTTAACCAAACTTGGTTTGCAGTTGCATCATGGGCGTTGGGTGTGTCATATACTAAAGTCAGATAGCTTTGACCTTGATTTTGCCTTTCGACCACTATGATAGTACCTTATCCAATTCATGTCCGGCTGATTACTTTTGTACTTTAAAACTTACGTTAACCAAACTTGGAATGCAGTTGCATCATTGGCTTAGGGTGTGTCAGATTTTAAAGGCAGGTCTTTCTGACCTTTGACCCTATAATGATTAAACCTTGTATGATTTATGACATGTGCATAACTTTTGTACCATAGCACTTAGGTTAAATAAATTTGATATGCTGATACATTATTGTATATGACATGTGTCATATATCGAAGTCAGGGAACTCTGACCTTTTTTTTTTAACCTTTGAGTCTTATGATAGTAAAGCATTGCCTTATTTGTTTTTGTGTAGCATAACTGCTGTATTTTAGCACTTGGATTTACAAAACTTTATATGCAGAAGCATTATACTGACCTTGATTTATAATTTCTGAATTTACAGCTCTATTTATGATTTTTTGTAGTCACTATTTATAAAATAATAGTACTTGGTTAGGAATTGGTTTGTTTTAACTTTTCGAGTTCACTGGGTTTATGTAGGAATTGGGATTGTGTTAACTAATGGAGATGGTTGGGTTTTCTAATGGAGATTATTGGGTTTATGTAGGCAGTGGGATTGTGTTTGCTAATGGTGATGACTGGAAGGGTAGGAGACGATTCTTAATACAAGCAATGCGAGATTTAGGTGTGGGAAGATCTTCGTTAGAAGAAAATATTATAGAAGAAATACAGAATGTCGCAGACGATCTGGAAAAAATGAAAGGAGCGGAGATAACCAATTTAAAGGAAATGATGATAAAGGCTAGCTGCAATGTTATACATAGTCTTATATTCGGATATAGGTAAGTTCTTATCTGTTACATGTACCAGTGTTTTGCATAGCAATTTATCGGATATAGGTAAAATGTTGTCTGCTCCATTTATCGATGTTACATACGCAATCTCATATTCAAATATATACAAGTAATTGTCTGCTCTATTTATCAACCCTGAACAGATATAAGTAATTGTTTGTCTGCTATACACAGAAAAATAAAGAGATGGTAAATGAAACCCAGGTATGTGGTATAAGCACCTCTTTTTATGCATCGCCCGTTATGCCATCAGTGTGGCAGTGTGGTTCACGCATCTCTCAAAATGGAATATGTACCTCTTGTTATGTTTGACCTCTTATGTATAAAGAGCAGTAATCCTAACCACTTTCCATGTGAACAGTATGGGATAAGTATCTATTCTTATGTATCACATGTCATATATTGAAGAGTCTTCGTAAAGAATCTCAGGCCATAAAAAAGAAACTGTGTGTTTGCCTTAACACTACCTACCCAGAAAATATCTGCCTACTCAAAATCTTTTATTGTCCTGATGTGGAAAAGTTTCATTTAATCAGATAGTCATGAAGACTAAAAAAATATCTGACACTTCAATTTCTCCGAAAAAATAAAATAAAATGCCTACAAACCTACCAACTGTCTCTACCTTCGGGAGGGATTTGTGCAAACCAAACTTTTTTTAAGTGTGGCCTCATATTCGTATGTATCACCAGCGTTCATATATTGAGAACAATATTTGATAAGCATTTATGGTACTACATGGCCTGTTATGTATTAAAAACAATGTGGGATAAGTTTTCCTTGTTATGTATTGCATGTCATGTATAAGAATAGTGTGCGATAATCAAATATTGAAATGTTTTACATGTCAAGTATTAGAAACAGTGTGGGATAAACAAAACTTGTTATGTTTCACATATCATGAATTGATAACAGTATGTGATAAGCATCTTGTGTACTTGTTCCTGTTATGTATTTAAAACAGTGTGGGATAAGCAGCACTTGTTATGTATCACATGTCACGTATTGAAAACAGTATGGGATAAGCATCATTCTCTTGTTATACATATATCACATGTAATGTATGGATAACTGTGGAATAAGCTTGTAATGTAGCACATGTTATGAATTGAGAACAGTATGGGATAAGCATCTCTTGTTATGTATCACATGTCATGAATTGAGAACATTATGGGATAAGTACCCATTTTACGTATTCCTGTTATTGATTGAGAACAGTTTAGAATAAGCATCTATAATTGCTATATATCTCCTTTTATCTGGTGTATCCATATTTCATGTTTAATGTGATAGAGTCGATCAACATAGTCACCAAACTTTTAAATATATAATCACGGAGAAGACATAATATGTATAGCAGATCAGTTTGATGTATAGTCAACACCCATTAAAATACCTTATATTTGTGTGCCTAGTAATTCATGCAGCTTAGCAAATATATTTATATCTGTTATGCCTTTCTCTTGACAAAAAGTTTTTTTCTTAATTTATGGCATGAATTGCTGTTTGCATAAGTCAGTATGCTTTATACATATATAAAATTAGAATGGATTGTCAAGAAAATACGGTTTCTAATCAATGACCTAGACTACACTTTCGGCATGGCAGAGAATTACCAATCTAGGTTACAGAGCTGTGACATACCTGTATTTTATTTTGTATAGTTAATTATTCGCATATATATGTTGCGTTATTATATTTCAGATACAAACATGACAACGAATCCCTTCAAAAACTCATCAAGACAATGGACAACATTGTTTCAGGTCCTGGATCTTTATCAGCGTCGGGAATATTTCCGGTTCTGAATTTAATCATGGTAATTTGACGCATACTCGTATCTAATAGCTGTATAATAGTTATAAATTTTTATTTTTCAAAAGTTAAAGGTTAATACTGTATAATAGCATACATGATAAGAGGTAAGTCATGTGACTAATGTCAGATTATTGTCCCAGTTTCTCATCAACAAAATGACAAAGTGCCTTTCCGTTGTCGTCGTCGTTGATGTCAGCCATTTAGACCAAGTGTTCAAAGCTTAATGCTTAGTGTTTGTCATCATGTATAGTTGACCTATTCATACAACAGTTTTCATTTACAAATTTACAGGAGTTATAGGTCATTGATGAACTCTTCGTAAATGTTTGCATTGGGATAAATACACTGTGATACCTTTTGCATTCCTCCTGACAACTGAAATTACCTGACAATTTGGTCACCACTTTAGAGTATCACAGTGGGGTTGTTTTGCCCTGGTAATTGGTCACCACTGGAGAGTATTACAATGTGGCTGTTTTTTTTTCTGCAGTATATTAATACAGACTTATCATTTCGTAATAGTGTTGGGAATGTGTTCATTGACCATTAATCATATATATGTAATATATATTGTATTTTATTATCATTTCAGAAAGACTTTAAAGATCTTAAGGTTAGGAGTGAAGGGTTTTCTTCTCTAAAAAGGTATATTGAAAAACACATAACGGAACACCGAGAGTCATTTGATCCAGAAAACATTCGGGACTTTATAGATATGTATCTGGTAGCCGAAAAAGAAGAGAGTGAACGGACGTCCGTTTTGAATCGTAAGTTTAAAGATAACGCTTTATTACAACGGCCAACAAAATAGCTTAAACCCAAATGACGATTTATTTTGTCTACCGGTACTGTCACTACAAAAGTCTAAAAGTCTGAAAAGACCAGTTTTTGTCTTAATTTGCATGAACTTTTACTCGACATTCTCCAAGAGTATGACTTGTGTCTTAATTTTTCTTGACAAATTCTCATTTATATTAAATTTCTATGAAATTTACTCGACATATTCTCGACATTCTGAATATGGTCTTAAAATTTCTTGACAAAGTCTTGACATTTGAATACTGTCTTGAAATTTCTCGACATATTCTCGACATTCTTATTTTTTCTCAGTATGGCTTGACATATTCTGAACATTTTGAATCGTGTCTTAAATTTACTTGACAGTTCTGAGTTTTACAAATCATGACCAATATGCATGATATAACTTTAATCTTTATTTCTCTTTATATGATATACTGTTGTTTCAAGTTACACTTCTTAACAACAAAAATAAAAGTTGGGCATGTAAAATAATTGAAAATTTGGGTATATAAATATTTTTACAAATGCAAATATGGCTATGAAATCTAAAGTATAAAATAATTCAAATGTGGGTGTGTTGATATAAAACAATTTCAATGTGGGTTTTTTAAATAATTACAAATTTTGATTCCTAAAACTTATAAATTAAATGATTCAAACCAATCATACTGTAGACATATTTCATTCTACATTCATAATATTCAATGTTGATATGGTAAATAATTATTATACCAAAATGTGGTTTATATAAATAGCAAATTATGATGATATACAAATCATTCATTTAACAGAAGAAAAATTTGTGTAATGTCATCTGTTGGAATATATGAAGTATTACACATGGACAGGATGTTCCCCATAAGATTAAGGTATTCCACACCCCAGATTACACGCAACTGTCAAATAGAAGTTATTGCTTTACCTGTAACCACACAACTTATCAGTTGACCGACCATGCCACTACAATTTAAAAAGTTTGTTGATAGATGAAAATGAAAATCATCATTTTGATGAAAAAAAATTGAATTGAAATGGATTTTCTTCATCAAAATTATGAAGTTAATTATTTTAACATAAAAACAAATTGAATAATTCCCAAAGATTAAAAGAAAATTATTATCTACTCCAGAAATAATAAAAAAAATGTATTTATAATGGGTCCCATCAATGATTTCTATAGAAATCATCGGTCTTATGAAACGGTTCTCAAACAGACATGCATATTATGGATCTAAACATTTTTTTCTTTTCAGGAAGGAGTTATCGCAAATATTTATTTTTGATAAAAAAATTATAAAATTCAACACTCAAATTTGAATACAAAATGTTTTTGGGTTGTTCTAAAAAATGAATAAGGTGTTTGAATCAAGATGGTAACAAATTCTTTGACCAAAACGAAAGCCCCCCCCCCCCCCCCCCCCCTCTTTTTTTAGCCACACAAACCCAAAAGAGATACAAGACACCTATTTTAGTAAAGCAAATTTGACTGGCAGTTTTGCGAACGGCAAAAATCTAAATGCTGTTTGTCAATACCTTCGACTTATATTCCAAGTGAAAACAATTACTTAAATGTTTAAAAAAATAAATCAAAATTAAACTACATGGGGGATTATTCAGGGTATTCCAACTTAGTTGCACCAAAAGGGTATCTTAGTATACCAAATTAATCCTTGGTTCTTCAAAGTTTAGTTTAGCCATAATAGAAAGGAGTATATGACAGCAATAGAATGTCATAAACAGTGCAGAATAAGTCTGTTCACATTTCAGGCGAAATTTATACTGTTGAGATAGTGTCAAGACATATTTAAGACCGTCAAGAATGTGTCGAGACATATTCAGACATTATTTAGAATGTCAAGAATATGTCGAGACATATTCAGACATTATTAAGAATGTCAAGAATATGTCAAGACAGATCGAGACAAATTTAAGACAGTCAAGAATTGGTCGAGACTAATCCAGACACTTATCAGATGATACAGGAAGTGTCGAGAAATTTTAAGACAATGTTCATACTGTCAAGACACTTGTCAAGAAAAATCAAGAACCTTATTAGACAAATTCATACTATGTCAAGAATTTTTAAAAATTATTCAGACAAATTAAGAATGTCGAGTAAAAATGAATGCAAATTCAGACAAAAACTGGTCTTTTCAGACTTTTTGACTTTTGTAGTGTGTGATTGATAACTAATTCACCCTTTCAGAATGTAATGTATTCTTTGTAATATTTTCAAAAGTGTACACCAAAACGCTGTTATTGGCTTACATCGTCCTAAACAATGGAAATTCTACCAATGGCGTGACGTTATTTCATTATGGGAATACGAACAGGGAAATTACCCACAATCCTTTTGAATCTGAAACGGCGAATAGGTGTTGTGTAGTGGTTTCAATCTAATCACGGGGTGTATCATAAAGTGGTCAGACAAATCTTCCCTCGCTTGCTAGTGAGTTACAATATTTCTCCACACCGACGAAATGCTTTTTTTGTTATAAAAAGACGACCAGGAGTCGTATATCTATATACCAGTGTTGGTAACAAACCCAATATAAATATTTGGAATTGTTTCTGGAATATTATTGATTATACCTTATTTCAAGACTAAAGTATTTGTAGTTACATGTATATTAATATATGTAATTGGAGGGTCAAAAGTGACAAGAAAATCTTCAACTTTGATTGTAACTGAAAACTGAAATTTATGGGGCCCTTTATAGCTTGCCAAGGCTCCGTGTTGAAGGCCGTACTTTGACCTATAATGGTTTACTTTTATACAAGTTATGACTTGGATGGAGAATTGTCTCAATGGCACTCATACCACATCTTCTTATATCTACAACTAGTCTCGGAAATGAGGGGTTTTGCCTTTCTTCAAGAATGTTCCATTTTTAAGTTTATAGTTACTAAAGAGAACCTTTTCCTATTTTATTTTATTTGCTTGGTAAGAAAGATTTTCTTCAAGAATGTTCCATTTTTAAGTTTATAGTTACTAAAAAGAACCTTTTCCTATTTTATTTTATTTGCTCGGTAAGAAAGATTTTTCTGTGATATTTCCTTAAAGTAATCATATTGTATCCTAACGTTTTCGTATTTTCTTAGTAACTTAGTGACTACCGTAGTCCTGACTTTTCATTTAAACAGTAACTTACACCCTTCTCTCATTAACATAGATCTCCTTCAAGTCAAAATCTTAGAACATTAAACTTCCCCATTCATTAGATATCCTTACATTTATGTCAGTAACATAGAACCTTTTCTTTCGTTTTTGTTGTCCCAGTTCTTACGAACCCGTAGCTCTCTCATTTTTAAGAATATCTTGTATTATATAAATCTCTTACGATTGTAGCGGCGGCGTTGTTAACCTCAATTATAGATTTGTTTGCTGCTGGAACAGACACGACTGCAACTACGCTTGATTGGTCATTCTTATGGATGATTCAGTACCCGGATGTACAAAAGAGGTGCCAAGAAGAAATTACAAAGGCAAGCATAATGTTTCAAATACATAATGTTTTGCTTCGTATACATACTATATACAAATAGTTGACAAAAATGTATTTGAATAATCATTAGTATTAAGAAATGAACATGTTACATTACCTTAGGCTTTACACTTTATTTGTTGCTCGTTTTGCGCCACATGACTGATGTCACTAGCTCAGCTTGAAATGCTTATTCGTCAGGAAAGCCTTGTTTTCTTTAATTTGATCATACTGCTGAATTTTATGTTCCCTTGTATTGTTTTGTCGTATGGTGTTTGTCCTTACGTCGTATTTCTTTTGTCTTTTGTCTTCAACTTATAATTTTTAGTGCTCCATGGTTTTTTCTATATTCTAAGACCAATTGAGAATTGATAATTCGAAGAACTTTGCTTTATTATATATTTCCACCGAAATATATACAATTCTCGGCAATGGTGAGTTTTTCCTGCTCACTCCAGTGCTCGGCATGGGTTAGGTGTTTCTGTTAACTCCAGCGCTGGGTAAGTGAATGTAGTTCCTGTTCCTGTTAGCTAAGAGGATAGTTTATTGTAATTAGATCCTTTTAAATAAGTTGCTTGGTAGGGTAAGTCGTTCCTCCTAACAAAAGTGTTCCGTGGGTAGTTCTCCTAGGCGGATTTAAGGGAGGGAAGGGTGCCACCCCCCTTTGTTAGAAAAAAATGGTTGATTATATAGGGACCATTGAAGCATGACTGGAGCTGGCCCCCTTTTAAAGCAGTCATTGGGGCCCCTTCATGAAAATTTCTGGATCCACCACTGGTTCTAGTCTACCCAGATGCTCGCTAAGGGTGAACAGTTCTTATACCACTTAGGAGAATGAGAAATAAGTGATCACTAAGGTGATTAGTAATTCACCACACTGTACTTACTTTTAGGTAATAGGACCAGGTAGAATGGTTCGATTATCTGATAGACGTCATTTGTCCTACACCGAGGCTACTTTAATGGAAATACAAAGACTGTCAAATACAGGTAGGCAAAGCATGTTCCAATCATCAGAATCACTAGTAAATACAAAGATCGGCAGATATGCATAAAACCATTTATGTTAAAAATCCAATAGAAAAAGGGAACAGTACTGACGGCAAAGTACTTCTGATTACAGAGATAAGAATTAAGGAGCCAACAAAAACCTCTTGTACTCGCTTACCATCAGGATTTCAAAAATGTGTTATCCGTTGTTCGAAAGCAGTGGAATACTTTTAGAACGTAAATACAAACTTGATATGACCTCTACAAGCTAAATATTAACACTAAACACATAACATTACTATATTGACTTTCCTCTTTGACAGCCATGTTTGCCGTTATGCACATTGCAGTTTTTGTAACATGTGTATTTACTTCTATCTTTTTACAGCTATTTTTGCTCTTCCCCATGTAGCAGTCTATGATACAACAATCAATGGCTTCAAAATACCTAAAAATACCATTATTATTCCAAGCCTGATCTATGCACATTTTGATGAAACAATCTGGAGAGACCCGAAGGAGTTTAATCCAGGGAGGTTTCTAAATAAAAACAATGACATTATCAACAAAGAATATTTGATACCTTTTTCGTTAGGTATGTATATTAAATAACAAATATTAGTTTAAACACATACACATTTCTTTCCGAGAAGCAATGAAGCAAGCATGTGTGTTATTGAAATTTAAAAAAAATGCAATTTTTAATGAGTGTTTGTTTTTGTGTCATTTGCAACGAAATTTGCATTGGGCGAGACATTGGTAGTATTTGTTTTTTATTTGTGCCTTGGTAATCATTGCCATCTTACTCTGACGTCATTTTCATTCTTCAGGGGTCAGGGTAAATGTGATTCATTCATCAGTTGCTATATTTAAAAGGTTACATATATTTTATTACCTGAATTGTACTGTCTAGTTAGGAGAAGTGCAGTCCATTATTTATTTAAGATTTGTTTCACATGCCTACGTACTTGCTGTTAAGATCGTTAGTCAATGATGATTTTAGTTTTGTTTTGCAAGTGCAAGTATCTGGCCATGGTAATTGTTCATTTGTCTATTCGATTCAGTCCTTTTTTGTCAAATAGCTCCTAACGTTGTAGTGTATTTACGCATCCCTGGCTGTCATATGTTGAAACTTGAGCTCATGATGAACGTGAATCTAGAAAGCCGGTGGACTTTGAGCCCAAGATGGTATCATCAGCTCCGTAGTTAGTGCTTCGAAAACGACACGGTCTATGGCATATGCTTATTTCAAATTCCCTGTTCATAAACTAAGAAATTATTAAGAAACTAAGGTTTCAACTCCCTCAGGTTAATTCGACCTTGGATAAATTTGGCTATTCTGTTGATGACGTTTTTGGTCATATAGCTCTTAACGTTGCAACGTATTTACGCATTTGTGACTTTTAAATGTTTAGGTTTGAGAATTCATGATGAAGGTAAATGGAAAAAATCTCATTGGAGACATAACATTTATAATGTGTTTACTTTATTTACTGACTGACTGATTTAGTTTTTGTATTACAGGCCCACGGATCTGCCCTGGAGAATCGTTAGCACGGTCAGAATTGTTTCTGATATTTTCAAACCTTCTACATAGATTTGAATTCTCTAAAGTCGATCCAGATGATATTTTATCATTTGAAGGGATAACCGGGTTAACAATGACACCATCGCCATACCGACTTAAAGCTGATTTGAGATAAATTGACGGTATGTGTGTACATCCAATATGTCAAACAGAACAGGATCTTAGAATACATGTTCTTAATTTTAAATTGTTTGAACTTATATGTATTAATTACTGTAAATTCAGAAATTATTACGAGGTTTTATTAATGCAAATAACGCGATTATTTGAGTACCGCAATAATAAAAACTCGTATTCTGATAACAAATACATAAATCTGTATGTAGCTTTTCCAAAATTCGCAATAGTTAAACTCGCATTTTTGTTAATTTTTAAAAAATTGCAATAATAAATGCATGCAATAATTTCTGAATTTACAATTATGTGACATTTCTTTTTATATATATTTGATCATAGGATGCAATCGTTTAAAATTCAATTTAAATGTAATAAAAAGATAAATTCAACATTTAGTTGTTAAAACATATTGTTCCTTATGTTGCTGTACCGAAAAAAGTTTGTTTTTGATTAAGTTGACACATGTTTGTTTCGAGAATTAAAACCCATGCCCCCATAAAAATGATGAATGACAATTACTTTTTCATGAAAAATCTTTTTTTAAAACACAATGTAATCTGTTTTCTTAATTATTTTTTTTCTATTTTAAACAGAACATATATTATAAAGGCACATATGTCATGCGCAATGAAATATGAATTTACTACGAAGTAATTATCCTTACTCTATTCACTAAAGCTGAAAAACGATTACAAAGAGTTGTTCTTGAAATATTTATTAATAGATAGATAGGACAGAAAGAAAAACGATCGGGTGATGATTCCTACAATCTTTGTTCTACATTAAGTTTTTTTTGCACAATTATACAAAACAATCAATAGAAAAAAAAATACATCTATTTGCAGATATGTTTAAATAAATGAAAAAAATGCAATAAAGGACTGATCTTGTAAATCGATTGTAATTCTAATAATGAACCAATGTAAATATCGATTCTTTTTTTAATGAATTACTCAAATTGATATTATCAAAAAATAATGTTTTGAAAATTTATTAAACAAATGATTATTTAAAAAGAAAAAGTATATGAAACTCTATCATTTAGTCACGAATATCTTGTTCTTTGTTCTCTGTTTGTTTTACTATTAGCTTTGTATTCTTCTGGTATATTATCAGTATCCGAGTTTAGCATTCACCCAGTAGCGACAACATTTAGTTTGGAATCAGTCAAGTGATAGATAATTTGTTCACTTGAATTCCAGTTCACGATATTTTATAACTATGCTAAAGGTAAGATAACAACTCATTAAGGCAAATATTTCATAGACAATATTTGCTCTTCTTTGTAACATGTGTAATGTCCTGACGTTTCTTTCCTTTATCTATTTGGAATCATTACTTCTCATGTTTATTCGATAAATATATTTCAAGAAACAGGCGTTGTACGCAAGTACATTCTGTTATACGTTGTTTTTTTTTTTTTCATATTATATTGACTGCTTTTTTCTATATCAAAATTATGAACACTTTTTGATATCGAATACTGAACAATTTTGTGTTATCTTGCAATGTTATAGGGTAGCGGTATGATGTACACTTGGACGTCAACTGATTTTGAAGTGTTAAACGGATACATTACGTAATTTAAGCTTAATCCTTTAGTTTTTGTATTGTTTTAATTGTATTATTTTCTTATGTTACAACGATAGGCCAGATGACTGCCATTCCTTTAAAAAATACTGCATGGGCCCTTAATGCTATATTAATGCTTTATGATGAATTCATTGTACACATATCAGACCAAATTCGTTAAATTGTGTAGAAAGATCCTAAATGGCCATGTTTGAAAACTCTAATTATTTTTTTTTATTTTCAAAGACCATTTAGGAAAGATGGAGTTTTAAATTGATATAAATTTTCAAAAAGTATCTCATAATTTAAAACTGATCTTCCATCCGACTTGTTTGTTTTGTCTTTGGTTAGAGGGGGGCGGTGAATTGAAATTGTTCAAAAGAAGAGCAAGCGTAACTAGTATCTTAATTATTAAGATCGGTAGTATGATAGTTATAATGTAGACTTGATGTCCTTTCATTAAATATGTGACAACACCATCTTCCAAGAAGTTTGATTTTTTTTGCACTTTATAACCAAATCTAACTCATTTTTGAGGGACAAGAATTTGATGTTTCAAATGTATCCACTATGGCCTTTTATTTGATATGCGACAACCTTACCTTCGAAGACATTTTTTTTTCCACACAAAGACCCCAACCAACCCATTTTTGGTGAATATACATTTGAAATTTGAAATGTACAATTTATGGACTTTCAATTTATATGTTACGACCTTGCCATCTTAGAGGTTTTAAATTTTTGCACTCAATGACCCCACCCTTTTGTTAGGGATGATACATGGGGTTTTAAATTTTCGTTTTTGAAAAGAACTCATTTAGATGTTCAATTTGATATGTCACATGACATTTGGCAAAGTCCAAAAAATGATGCAATATCAATTTTATAAATAGAACTTATGAAACTTACAAAGTAAAAGTGAAACATTACAATTTCAAACTGATTATTTTTCTTTGTTTTTCGTCAAATGGATTGGTGTTTAATCATGTAAAACTCCTCAATATCAAAAATTTTCAGGTTGCTAGCTGTTGCTGATACAGAAAGATATGCCCCCACCAACAAAATTTCAAACTGCAACATCTCTAAAACGACAATAGATATCTCAAATCTGCTAAGTGTAAGATGGTCTGCAGATGAAGTACACGGTAAATTGACAAAATAGCTCATCAAGGGCACAACGAATTTTTAAATATATGATGCATAACTGAACATAAGAACAGGACCACTTGACTTTCCAAAGGTCACAAGGTCAAGGTTATAATACTCTTTGAAGGTCAATGTTATAATACCCTTTGAAGGTCAAGGTGAATTTCCTCATGACCTTGACATTGACCTCAAATTAAAGTCTTAAATTTTTGATAATTTTTGCAGTTTTTAGTGGGTTGATATCTGTTACCGTTTCAAAGATACACACAAAAAACTAAAATTTTAAGAATTATCTCGTCGTAATTTTTGAACGGATGGCCGGACAGTTTTAGGTCAAAGTATAAAATGTAGAGCTCTAAGAGAAGAACATTTTAAACTCTAAGAATATAAAGCTATCTCTTATCGTTTTCTTAACATTCAAGCTTGAAATTTAAACATACAATGTGTTTGCACTCGATGACCTTTGACCGTGGAGGCAAATGAAAGGTTACATGAACTAAGGATTATTGATGAAGGTTCTTCCATTTCTCGAAATGTAATTTTTCTAAAATTGTGTATAATATTTCAAGGGAAATAATTTTTATAAGGGCTGATAACAAAATAATTGTTTATGTTTATTAACATTGCCATCTATTCCTGTACATGTTGTTTTTTTTCAGATCGATTTTATCTGTAACAATTTTTAAGATATATGCGAATGAATGTGTTTCAAGGGGATATAACTCTAAAGAGAATGATGCAATCCTAAGCAAGGTCATCTGGTAATACTTCATAATGAGATCTACCTATTGTCCAAATAAGGTCATGATATCTTCAAAAACAACGAAGGGGGAGGCTATGTCAAAAATATAAATAAAAAGAGATAACTTCTAAAGGATGTAATGAAATCCTACACAGCGTTATCTGGTAATGCTTCATGATGAGGTCTATCGATGGTCCAAATTTTGTCTTTTTATTCTGCAATTTCATCTTGACCTTCAAAAAGTACTATAACCTTGACCTTGTGACATTTTGAAAGGTCAAGTGGTCTTGAGTTAAATGATTGTAGTCCCATGTCTCTACGACTTCCTGTTCTCAAGTTCGGTATTGGATCATATATTTTATTATAAATTGTACCTTTAATGAACTATGGTATTGCCTAACTTTTTGTTTACGGTGTTGAATTTCATCTGCAGGATCCGCTTACACTTGACAGATTTGAGATATCTGTTGTCATTTGAGAGATATTGCAGTTTGATAATTTCTGAGGGGAAAAGGGGGGGGGGCAAACATTTCTAAAACACCAACAGCTAGCCACCTGAAATTTTCAGAAATTGAAGATGAGTATATGTTTGACTAAATACTTAAAACATATGATAATTAACAAAGAAAAACAAGCAGTTTGAAAGTTTCATGTTTTAAATTGACTTTGTAAGTTTCACAAGTTCTATATATAAAATTGACATTGCATCATTTTTTGGACTTTGCCAAATGGGGTCATGTGACATATCACATTGAACGTCCAAATGAGCTCTATTGAAAAGTAAAAATTACAAACCCCTTTTTCCATCCTTAATAGAAGGGTGGGGCCATCGAGAGCAAATATCAAAACTTCTAAGAGGGCAAGGTTGTTGCGTATCAAATGAAAGTCCATAAAGCGTACATTCCAAATATCAAGTTTTTGTCCCAACAAATGGGTTGGGTGGGGTCAAATGAATTGTCCTAGACAGCTAAGGTTGTCGCATATCAAATAAAAGGTCATAGTGGGTACATTTAAATACCAAATTCTTGTCCCTTCAAATATTAGTTGGATGGCCGTTGGATGGCCAGGGGTTATAAAGTGCAAAAAAATCAAACGTCTTAAAAGACGGTGTTGTCACATATCAAGTGAAAAGGACATTAAGTCTACATTACAACTATCATGCTACCGAGTAGTGGCTGAAGTACTGAGGTGGCGAAAAGTGGAAAGTTATAAGAAGGTATGCCTGTCGCATATCAAATGAAAAGTCATAAAGAGTACCTTACAAATATCAGACTTTTAAGGGAAGTCCCTTTCAATTGTTTGTACTAGTTGAGATTATTGTCCTAAAGGAAGCACATCTGTCTATTTTTGAAAATGCAAACCAGTATAACAAAAATACCGAACTCCGACTGTTTTGTTTAAATGTTGTATCTTTTTTATATCTTCTGTGTGATTTTATATGAAAACAGATGTGGTTTCAGAAAAAAAAAATCGCAATGAGCTACTTCTTAAACACACTCTTACCTGTTCCACAAATGAGAAAATATTTAAAAATGGACAATAGTTGGAGAAAATGTTTCGTTTATTTCAATTTTCGTTATTTGCTTATAATACAGACACAATATACAAGCTTTAGAACCGTGTTTCAGATTTATGGCACTTACTGGTATAGGAACACCAGTAGCGTAGGTAGCATGTTGTAAGAACTTGATTGATAATCATTGGAGGACAGAAAGTATAAACTTCAACTAACCTTATTTTAAAAAGTTCTTTATGATCTTGTGGATATACTATGCGATAATATTCTCACATCAATGTCACCAAGATAAAGATATCACATACCAAGAAGTTTCGGCAATACTCAAATAATATCAATGGCTTTTTAAAAGTACAGTTTTTGTCCAAGGAAAATGACCTCTTAGAACTTTTTTAGCCAGCAACAGTAGTTGA